ATAAAATATATTAAAAAAAAATAATAAAAATACCTTATCATATATCTATACATCTCCAATATTTCAGGAACGTATTAGAGAAAGGGAACGAAAAAACAAATATCACTTGGCCTTTAACTTGAAATAGCATAGAACATAATTTGTAATTTTGACACCAATTTGGAGATCTTGGATAAAAAAACAAAACAGACTGTTGACTGTTTACAGGGGACTGAGAACACCAAGAGTTTACTTTTTAGAAGCAAGTTCTGTAACATGGTGTGTTGATGGAACTTTTCTTGGGTAATTTTGTTTGGCCAGAATGACATCTCTTCTTCCTCAAGGATAAAGGCTTCTGATGGTACCACAGCTACAGTTAGAGAATTCATTTAGCACAGAAGAATGTGGCTGAATATTGTCCTCGTTCTCCTGCTTATATTAATTGCATGTCAAGTTGTACTTTCCAAAATCTCCAGTCAAGGACTTCCATAGACTTCTCACCCTAACCCACCGTGGCACTGGGAGAATGTTCAGATTTGTTTGTATGTTTTTTAATATTGAAGAATGTTATTTATATGAACTTTCAGGAAATTAATACAATAAAGCCTAAGAAGATAAGGTAAAACTGTTTTTAAAAAGAGATTTGAAGCAGTTATGCAGGTAATTGAGGGTAAAAGCATCCTTTTTCCTAAAATGTTTCAAATGGGTCAACATTTATTGAACGAATTTCTTGCATGAATCACATGGATAGTGATTCAAATTCTTCCATGTCTTATGTAGCCAATACAGTGGGCCGCTTCAGCCCTTTCAGAATCTCATTTCCAAATTTCCTCTTCTTCACCTGTCCATTTTGTTGGCAGAATTACAATAGGCTCAGACCTGCATGCTTTGAGAGAAAACCAAGTGTGAGCTCATGAACTAGCCATTCAACAGTTTCCAGAACTCCCAAGAGTTTGTCTGTGCGCCCGACAGGTGGCTTCTGTCACCACCACAAACCCAAGACCTGGTGCACCTGTGCCCGTAGCAACGGCCCAGTGGATGACTTGGAGCAGGAGCTCTGCCAGTGCCGGGAGAGTGTCCGCCGTGCGTGAGACCGGCTGGCAGAGCGGAAGAGACTGGCTCTGCAGGTCCCCGGGAGGTGAGAAAGCAGCCTCCACGTCCCAGCACGGTGCCAACCCTCCTGCTGCCGCTCTGGCTCCTTGGTGAACAGTGATGACCTCATGTTCTGCTTGTAACACTTTTCCTGGTCTGTACCTCATACACTGGCCCGGCTTGAGATGCTTCAGGACCTGGGCACCCACCACCCTTCGGAAAATCATCTGCACTCCCCAATGGTGAACGGGGCTTTGTGGGCCGGATTCGGGCTTAGAGGATCTTCATGCCTCAGCTCCTGGGCTGGCCCAGCAGCAGGGAACCAGACTCTCAGGCCTGCATGGAACCCCTAGAGACCCCAGCCAATCTCACCAATGGTTCTGGGGTCCCAAGCTGTCTTTGGACTTGGGGGAGTGCAGGGACAGAGCAGAGGACCAGCTGGTGATCCCGGAAAAGTGGTTGTCAAAGAAGTGCAGTTCACCAACATTCGGTGCAGCCGTGCTGGGCTCCCAGGCAGCTCTTAGCCACCTCTGCGCCCCTCAAGTGCCGCAGCTGCCGGCGCCATAAGCCATTAGTTGGGGGGTGCCAGCAGGGCCTCCTGGTGCACCCTCCTCACGCGACAGCATTAAACCGAAGCACCAATAACGCACGGATGAGCACCGAGCGGAACACCCAAAGCCTTAACGTCCTCTCGGGAATCCTGTGTCAGTTGCACCATTTGTAACAGGCGGCATTCTAGGATGTAACGTCCCTGAGATGATCTAATGGCTAAAAGCAGCTTCCACTGTCTCAATCCGTGCAGTCATCCTCATTCCGAAACCGATGCTACGAGGCGCTCCAGCAGCGATGTAACCCGACCGGACCCGGCCCCATCAGGTCACGGTCACGGTCACGGCGCCCCAGCCAGCCCTGCCTTGCCGGTCACGGAGCAAGTCTCCGTGGTTCATGGGGTAGAATCACTGTCAAGAGGCAACGCGGTCTGTTCCAGCCGCCTTTTGACTTGTGGGTGGTTTATGTTCTGTCCTAACACTGACCTTCTCTCGCACACACCCGACTCCGGCTCCCTGTGCAGGGACACTGAATCCGGCTTGTCATGAAATACAGAAAGAAATCACGGAACATTTTCATCATCTTTCCATTCCGAAGCATGTGTAGTTTTCTTTTCTCCTCAATGTATGTCCTAGCACTGCTTGTGGGTCTCTCTTTCCTCCCCTCCAACCTTCTACTCATCCGTACTTTGCTGTCTTCTCTTTTCCAGAAGATAAAAACACCGAGAGAGGGGCCTGACCTTTCCTTTCTGTTGGAAAGGAGCCGAATTGTAAATAAAAAATAAGAAACTGTTTATGGTCGCTCAACAACCAAACCCAGGAAGAACTCTATCTGTGAGATATACATATGTCTCTCTATATAGATAAAAGCACATTATCTTTCATTCACTACTACTTGTAATTAAAATGTTTTACTGTATCAGAGAAAACTTTATGCAGTAGACCGAGAAAACCTGTGGGGGAAAAATTCAAAATATAGTATAATTGACTCAAATGTTGTTGTCTGTCTATTCTGGGCTTGGCACAATTTCAAGGGGAAAAAATGTACTCGCTATAAATTAACCAGAAAATTAATTTATCTGCAAGGTTCCAGAAACTGCTTTTTAACTCAACACCGATCCATAGAGCCTACCCACGCATGTGCTCTGTGCAGTCCACGTGGGCCAAAAGCTGGTCGCTGCATTTTAATCCAGATGCAGGCGCTGCAGGGAGAAGGTGTTGCAGCCCTAGATCTAACCCGCCCGCCATGGGGCCACGGGCAGCTCCTCTTAGCTTGAGTAGAGGCGTCCAGAGCAACACACGGTGCAACTGCAAGTTTCCAAGGCCTTGAATGCCACTCTTGGGATTGGAAGTTTCAGCGGCCCCTTTCCTCCAGCAGGAACGTACGCAGACAGGAAAATAAAGAAAGAGAGCAGAGAAGTGCCCTCCCCTGGAGGGTCCCTGTCCCGGAGCAGAACGGGGAAATGAGGCCTCTGCAGTCAGCAGTGCAGGTGGATGCACTGCTCTATCCCAGGTCTGGTGCCAGCTCTCACTGTGACTTCCCTGGAGTTGGTTCAACACTGAGCTGAGCTCACAGACCGGAGGGAACCAACACTTGTTTTCTTTGGACTGCTTTGAGCAAAAATAGAAGTAAAGGAGCTCATTTTTTTTCCTAAAGATTTTTGGGGCAATCCAATAATACAGATCCAAAGTAAGTAAGTATTCGCTGGCCCAGTTTCCCCGTCTTTTAAGATACAAGTGTGACTTCCAGTTCCTGGACTGTGAGAATATGCTGAAACCGAGCCCACAAGTGTAGCACCAGGAGTCAGAGCGCACTCTGCGTGGTTGGGTGAGGTTTCCTGCGTGGTTGGATGAGTGTTCCCAGTGCAGTTCTTCCCTCTGAGTTTGGCTTTTTTAGCGCGTGTTAGGTAAACAGGTGTGCGAAGCTGGTCAGCAAACCCAAGACGAAGAAGAGCTCTGCTCCTCTTGGGAGGAGATTGGACGTTTTTAATTTTGTTTTTTTTTTAATTCAGCCCAAATATCTAGGAAAAAAGACATTCTTGCTCTCCTAGCCAACGAGCGATGTTCAGGGAAGTGAGGAGGAAGGTCATTCGATGTGCAAATGCCCTGATGGTCACATTTTCTTTTGTCCATGAAGGAAACGTTGTTCACCTCCTCCTTTATCCAGTCATCAAGCTCATGTGAGAATAAGAAAGCATTAAATGCAGTCATGTCCTGGAAGGGCCCCCTTTGCAGCCCAGTGGCTCTCCTGAGATTGAATTGTCATCCCAGGTGGGCCCTGGGACCTGCCCCGTGTGATTGGAGACATCACATCCTTTTGTAAAACAAGAGAGAATCCTGTATAATAAACTCCTATAGCCAAAGGGGTCTGTGAGCAAATGTTAAAACTCGAGGATATCATTCTCAGTTTTTAGTTTTGATTTACCAATTGGTTTTTCCAGAGGGCTTCCCCCTCCCTTCTCCTCCCCCCAATTAAATTAGTCACTCTGGTGCTGTTGTGAGGCGGTCGTTTAATTTCATGGCTTTCATAAGTTTACAGGAACATAAAAACGTGATGCCCATGAAATTCATTACAATTCTCCATTATCTTGTGGATTTAGTGCCCATCTGTCTTGCATATGTTTCAGCGGTGGCTTACAATGGCCCTTGCCATACAGTGGCCATATGCCTATTCACTACGCACATGTGGAAATGTGCATGCATCTAGGCCAGCAGTTCTCAACCTTTTCCATCGCATGGAAACATAAACTAATTATTAAAATTCTGCGGCACACCAAAAAATATATTTTTTTGCTGTTATGACAAAAAGAATAGGTATAATTTTTACTCATTCATACCAGAGGGCTATTGTTGTGTTGGCTGTTGTCTTTTTTCTTTCTTTTTTTTTTGGACAATCTAAGGGAAAGGAGGTCAACCACGCACACTGGTTGAAAATCGCTGATCTAGACCCAAGACTAGTGGTAAACTAAGGCTGTCTCTGACTTGGATTCTAAACCCCCATGAAGGAAAGTCCCCCCAGAAAAGCACACAAACATTGGTGTATTCGTGAGAATAGATTTAGAAACAGTCCTTCCAGCCCAGCAAATGTCATTTTGTTTCTGTCTGCTCACTCCTTCATTTGCAATAAACCTGACAAAAATTTCCAGAATGAAAATGTGCATATTTGGAGGAAGCGTTGGCAGGCAGCCACAGACGCAAAGGATGCAAACTAATTTTGCTCTTGTTTTTCTGCCAGTAACTGCTTGGCGGCCCACACTCCAGAGCCCCAGCGGGGATTCTGATGGGTCAGGTGCACACAGGCCACGGAGAAGGTGATAGGTCAGTGGTTCTCAACCTTCCTAATGCCTTGACCCTTTAATACAGTTCCTCACGTTGTGGTGACCCTCAACCATAAAATTATTTTCGTTGCTACTTCATAACTGTAATTTTGCTACTGTTATGAATCGTAATGTAAATATCTGATATGCAGGATGTATTTTCATTGTTACAAATTGATCATAATTAAAGCATAGTGATTAATCACAAAAAACGTGGACCTTATGCATCGCACCAATGCAATGACATCCATTTGAATCTGGTGTGCCCGACCTTCCTCCTTCGCTTTACCAAGGAAGGAAAGGAGGGAGGGAGGGGGGCAGGAAGGAAGGAAAGTGCAAACAGGCAAAGCCTTTACTTCCTTTAGATCACGTTTTCAGATCCTATCTCCTGCAATAAGCACCCTTCCTCTGGTAACACAGAAGAGCTGAAGTCCTATACCTTGTTCCCAGGGGATGGGCTTCCCCACAGAGTTTTTAGCGGAACCGTGAAAGCAGGGAGTTTGGTTCCTTCCCTTCAGGCTGGGGAGGTGGGTAACAAACCACCCTTTTGATTCGGGGGTGGGTGGGAGTGTCCTGATTTTCTGAAATGAGGAACAAGACTAACTTGGACCCAGCCAGTATGTCTCAGTGGTTGAGGGTTGACCCATAAACCAGCGGGTCACAGTTCAATTCCCCCGGTCAGAGCACTTGTCCCGGTTGTGGGCTCAGTCCCCAGTCAGGGACGTGCAGGAGGCAGCCAATCAATGATTTCTTTCTCATCACTGATGTTTCTATCTCTCTCTTCCTCTTCCTTCCTCTCTAAAATCAATAAAAATATATTTTTTAAAAAAAGAAATGCTGAAAAAGGGGACTAACTTGGTGCCAAAGGGAACTTAGAGAAAAGATTCCAGGCTCCCGAAGGATGCTTCCATCTGTCCCACTAGAGCCGGGGGTGGGGAGGAGGGCAGAGTTGAGCCCCTTGCTAAACTGTCCTGGAGGGGTTAGACTCCGAACCAGAAGCTCCCACAGGATGGGGCAGGCAGGGGAGTGCCCGGCCTCCGGGAGGCCTGCACCAGGGGAAGGAGGAGCGTGATGGACAGAGCCTGGCTGGCCTCTTCAGCTAAGAAGGCCCAGGACCCTGAAGAGGAGAGGCCAGGGCCACCGTCATGCTGCCCGGGAAGGAGCTGAACCCTCCTGCTGAGCCTCTGAGTGGATGTGACTTCACTGGGGAGATGGGAGACCGCATGGCAGCTGAGTGCCCAAGACCTGGCCCAGCCCGAGTCTGGTGGGAAATTAGCTTTCATCTCATTCAAGGTCACTTCAAGGAGTGTCCTACAGATGAGCCCCAGGAATCAGCTCTGCAGGGCAGGCCCCTCATCACAGAACACACAGCCCAGCAGTGGGACCTGGAATGTTCCAGGAACAGGAAAGCTTGGGGTGGGGGTGGGGGGGTGAGGAGTGGGGAGTGGGGGGTGGTGTGAGAAGGGCTCTGGAGCAGGGTCCATGGCAGGAGAAAGAGCTGCTGAGCGAGGCTCATTTCATGCAGAGCCCCAAGGCTATAAATAACCAGACAGCTGCTCAACAGCTGGTGCAGAGAATGGTCTGGGCAGGGGCAGCGTTGGGGAGGAGTTCGATAAGAGAGCACCCAACGGGGCGCACCTTTGAGTGTGTGGGAGGAACCCTAGATGGCCCAGAGGGAGCTACAGACCTCCCCCGCCTTACAACCAGAACCCACAGCTGGTTTAAGACTGGACAAAAGAGACACAGGGTCAGCCGTGTGACCCTTTGTGTATATGGAGACTGCCTGCTGCCCTGACCATGTTGTTAGCACATTAGTATTTTTTCTTTTAAAGAAAAATAAAAGCCTTTTAAAAAAATTGAGCCATAGCTTACACATAGCTTCATGAGTATTTACCTATTCATACACCTCTGTAACTATCAGCTAGGTCAAGGTGTAGGACATTTTGAGAACCTCAGGGGACTGTCTTGTGCCTGTGGAGTCAATAACCCCACCATCCAAGGCTAACCACTGTTTTTATCTCTGTCACCTTAGGAAGATGTCTTCTTCCTTGTGACTGCATAATTGGTTCATCTCGCTGGAATCCCACTGTGAGTCCTGGCTTCTTTCACTCATTGACGTGCCTGTGAGGTCCCTCCACATTGTGGGTAGCAGAACTTTGTCCTTTTCATTGCTACGTAGTATTCCATTGTATGATAAGACCATGATTTGTTTATCCATTCTCCTGTTGGGTATCATTGGGCTGTTTCTAGTTCGAAGCTATTATGAGTGACACTGCAATGATCAGTCTTGTTAGTGTTGGCATATTTCAGAGCAGGTTTGGACATAAATCCTGGGAGAAATCTAAACTGGTGCACCCTCAATGGGGGGCAACTTGGCAAGAGCTGTCAAAATTAGAGAAGTACATGGCCTTCTGAGAATTTATTCTACAGATCTGCTCAGACACGCAACATGATTTCTGCACAGGCTTCTTCGTTACAGCATTTTTTTTGTAAAAGCTAAAGTGTTGCCATTTTGTTGTTGAGTCGTCAGTGTTCTTTATATATTCTGGATACTAGAACCTTATTAGATATACTAGAGGCCTGGTGCATGAAATTCATGCACTTGGCAGGGGCGGGAGGAGAGTCCCTCAGCCCGACCTGCACCCTCTCACAGTCCGGGAGCCCTCAGGGGATGTCTGACTGACAGCTTAGGCTCGCTCCCTGTGGCAGTCGGACGTCCTTAGTGCTGCTGCAGAGGATGTGAACCTGGCTTCTGGCTGAGCTGTGCTCCTCCTGTGGGAGTGCACTGACCATCAGGGGGCAGCTCCTGCATTGAGCATCTGCCCCCTGGTGGTCAGTGCGCATCATAGCAACCAGTTGTCCCACCGTTCAATCTATTTGCATATTAGCCTTTTATTATATAGGATAATTTGCAAATATTTTCTCCCATTCTGTAGGCTGTGTTTTCACTTTCTTGAAAATATACTCTGATAACGTAAGTTTTGAGTTTTTACGAACTCCAATTTATCTATTTTCTATTTTGTTGTTAGTGTCATATCTGAGATTCTATTGCCAAAACTAAGGTCATGAAGATTGACCCTGTGTTTCTTCCAAGGGTTTTATGGAACATAATCCCCACTCCTTAAGTGTGAACTGCACATCATGATTTCTACTCTACGTGGAAAAACCAGCGGAGAAACCTGACAAACACACCTCAGCCGGTGATCAAGGTCAACATCGACATCGTTATGATAATAGCATGGACCCTTGATCTGATGAGATGGCACTCTATGGGCTGAATGATGCCCTACCCCAAATTGATATGTTCAGTCTTAACTCCCATCACCTTGATGTGACTGTATTTGAAGATAGGATCTTTAAAGAGGTAATTGAGGTTAAATGAGGTCATTGAGTTGGAGCCTAATCCAATATGACTGGTGTCTTTATATGAGAGGAGAGTAGGACACAGGCAGGTAGAGGGAAAACCACGTGAGGACACAGGGAAAACCACCTACAAACCAAGGAGAGAAGCCTTAGGAGAAACCAACTCTGCTGACACATTGAACTTGAACTTCCAGCCTCCAGATTGTGGGAGAACAGACTTTTGTTTTTTAAGTTGCCAGTCTATGGTGTTTGCTATGGCAGCCCCATGCAGACTAATACAGGCACTTTACCTCTGAGGTGTTCCTCTCAAAAACCCATAACCCCATCCCAATCACAAGAAAAATATCCAACAAATCCCAACGAAGGGACATTCTACAAAATACCTGACCAATCCTCCTCAAAACTGCAAAGGTTATCAAAGGTCAAGGTAAAAAAAAAAAAAAAAGTCTGAGAAACGCTAAACAGCCAAGAGGAGCTTAAGGACACATA